TGGTGTTATGAATTTGCTCTGTCGCGATGGTAGCGGTGGCGAAGAGCGGCGAGCCGTCGAGCGGACTTCGATGAAGCCTTAGCCCGAAGGTGAAACAGGGAGGCAATCCGTTTGGAAAACAGCAACAAAAGTAGCGTTTACTGTAGCAGGTTGTCGTTTTACAGAGCCGGCCAGCACGACAACGTCGGCTGGGGCAAAATCTTTCTAACATGGGGCCGGCACGGCCTTAAATAGCGTCTTTGGTCCATTCTCTCAGACCAGTTCTCGGGCTCGGAGGGGGAGACGTAGCCATAACCGGAACTGCAAAGTGGTTCGGCGACGTTATCCCCGGAACTGCACGGTTCTTCTGCACGGAAGGCGGCGCTGAGAGGGGGGGGGGGAGACAGTTCGTCGAAACAGGGCTCGATCTTGTGAGACGTGCTCCCGAACGAGGAACATGTCTGTGGCACAACAGCACCCCCGCCGCCAGACAATGCACCCGGAGTTTTGAGCCGTCAGCGCGGCTCGGAAGGAGGGATGCTGGTTGACCGTCGGTAGCCGTTCCGCTCTCTCCGCCCGTTGAGACTTCCATAGGCCTGCAGAGGTTCACTGGAAGGACGGACTCGAACACAAAGCCAAACCACTGTGGCCAAAGCTAGAACCCTCAAAATGCTGATCAAATCGCCAGACCAGCAGAAACGAAAATATTTCCTCGAGCTTTAACTGAGCTAAAAAAAAATAGCATCACGAGCAATGTGTCTGAGGAGGAATACACAGTGCTGACACTCCTTTAGCTAAGTGTCAGTGCATGACACCGCTAAACCAAACAGAATTTTTTTGTTTTCAAGCGATTCTCAATTGTGATTTAGGCAGAGTTTGGACGATCGAAGCTTCTGAGGATTGCTCAATTTAGCACCGAAACTACAATTTAGTATACCAAGTAATTCTGAATCACGCACATTGGCGTCGCTTGCAAGTGTCAGACTGTTAAACATAACAAAGTTCGTCATCCTACAAGCAATCATTCAATGCGCGCCGCCAACGATCATCACGACAAGAGTAAGCACGCTTGAAAAACTAAGAAAATAAGACTGAAAATCAAACTTGCGTGCGTTGTACAAAACAAAGTGAAAAGTTGACCTCAATTTACGTGCATACTTAAACGTAATGCGAAACCCAGAAGGTACTTTAAACAGGAGCTTTTACTCAGCCTTCTCTGTTAAAATAAAACACACTGACGGTTATCTTTTGAAATATTATGAAAACAAAATAGTGAAACAAACATAGCATTGTCAGTTTTTTCTATGAGAACGAAAGTAAAACTTACAAAATATTCATACGCATTGCTTCCTCATCGGCGAGCAACACAACTAGAAAAAGTTATTCTTAGAAAAAGTTATTATGGTAAGGCAGCACTATCTCAGACGAACTCTGGGGAGTCGCGCACTCCACAGCTTTCGAGGGTTGCGGTCTAAACAATGGGACGACGAACCAACTTGTTCGCCGAACTTAGTAGCACCGTCTTTTGAGGTACACCCACTTAACTCGAAGAAAGGGGCACCTGCACTGCGTCGTTTACCCCTTCGGTTCGACCAGTGACCTTTTCGCCATGGTGGAGAACAACCGCTCGTGTTACCGCTCAAGCGTTCACAACGTTTCCCCACTTGCTTGCATCTACGCAGCAGTGAAAAGGATAAGACCAGGCGGGGATCTCGGCGTTCGAATTTCCCTGAAATTCGGTCTTTCTTCATGTGCTTCCCGCCTAATCTCGGTCTCAGTGATGGTATGAGCCTCAAACATTTCCTATAGAACTATTTCGCGATCCTACGCGTAGCCCTGAACCTGGCGTCTCGAATGAAGACGTCACGGCACTTAACAACTGCTTTAACATGTTTGACGCTTCTCGTCTCTTCCGCGCTACGCTTTTGCCGAGGCCTTTTCCTTTTTGAATGGCTAGGATCGCTGGAAGCCCCGACACACTTATTAACAAGTGCGCTGCCTTCGACAGGTTCTGCCAAAACTCTAGACTGGTTAGCTAGGCTTTCTTCGGGCCCGTTGCTAGCTGTCTCTGCTTGCGACAGAACGGGATTCCCGATGCCTTCAAAGCCAACAAACACGCCTAGAGAGCTTTTGATCTGTGGGGGTCTATCGCTGTCGTGTATGGCCCTAATTCTCTGGCCTTCGAAGTCGGCTTCATGCTCTCTTTGACGCGATTCATCCTGATCGCGTGCGCTGCGCAGCGGCTCCATCTCTATCGCTTTACGATGTGCCTCTGCGTCTCGAGGTTTCCGATGGGCCTCCGCCCCTAACTCTTCGTGAGGCTTCTCAGTGCCCGGATCTCTCTGACGCACTTCGGTGTCTTGCACCTTGTGACGGGCCTCAACGTCAGATGCCTCGCGACTTTCCTCATCCTGAAGCGCTGTGCGACGGGCCCCCATCGCCTTACTGCGCGCGTCGTCCTCCAGCGCTCTACGGCACGCTTCGTCCTCTCGCTCTTTTTGGCGGGCGTCTTTAGCGCCTTACCACCTGCTTCAGCGCTGTTACTATCGCTCTGACTTCCAGCACCTTACCTTTAGCGCCTTTCCACCTGCTTCAGCGCTGTTACTATCGCTCTGACTTCCAGCAGGACTTGAAATGAAGAAATATTTAATCAAAGCATATCTAGCCTGAACAAAATCTCCTGCTTCCTGGTAGGGTAAACAACTCAAAACATGCGCGATTTTGCGCGGCAACAACGTGGCGAGCTTCTCCACCAAAAGGTCGCGGCTAACACCCACATTAGTGCAAACAACTTCAAAATCATCCAGAAAATGCGCGATGTTTTCGCCTGTCTGAAAGCTGTGGTGCCGCTGTTTCGCTCGCTCCCACTTAAGTGCTTTAATTTTAAAATCAAGCTCTCTCATTTCGAGAGCATGCTCTGTCCTTTTTCGTCTCTGCTCGGCCTTCCATTGTTCGTGCCTTCTATCCTCTCGCTCTTCGGCCTTCTGCTTTTCCTCACAAATGAGCTCCCAAAACTCGTCAGCCTCATCGGCAGTCACATTTTCTGTCCGCATCACCTCGAGAATCGCTTCCCTTGTTTTAGCGGACCCGGTGGAAATCCCCATGGCTCGACAACTTTCGAAGAGGTCCTGCACCAGGTACTGCTCCATTGCGATCTCGTCCCTCATGATGCTCTACTACTGATATTCACCGTACTCTAAAGCTAATCTCGTAGTTTAGAGCACGTGAATAATAAATTACAACCAACAAAACACAAAACGCTCTCCTAACATCTGCCTGTGCTAGAGAGGTCTGGCGAAATGAACAGTAAACGTTGGGCACTCACCCAACCAAAGTACCCGACGATGGTCCAACTCGTGGCTGCCGTCGAACAGTATCAGGCCTTCCGGGATCCGGTCCAACTTGCCAATGTTGAGATCCGGAGTTGCTTGTCCCAGCTTGCCGAACGATGAGAACAGGGTAGCGTATCGCAGCGTAGCCAAACGCTATCACGGCGGTCGTCCTCGTGCTCGGAGATCCGATCCAACTTTTCAGCCGTTGAGATCGGGGTAGCGGGTCCCAGAGCAGCAAAACGTTGAGGACAGCGGGTCTGATCCGGCGTGCCAAACGTAGGATATCGTATCCCGAAGCTGCCAACCACTGTTATGAATTTGCTCTGTCGCGATGGTAGCGGTGGCGAAGAGCGGCGAGCCGTCGAGCGGACTTCGATGAAGCCTTAACCCGAAGGTGAAACAGGGAGGCAATCCGTTTGAAAAACAGCAACAAAAGTAGCGTTTACTGTAGCAGGTTGTCGTTTTACAGAGCCGGCCAGCACGACAACGTCGGCTGGGGCAAAATCATTCTAACATGGGGCCGGCACGGCCTTAAATAGCGTCTTTGGTCCATTCTCTCAGACCAGTTCTCGGGCTCGGAGGGGGAGACGTAGCCATAACCGGAACTGCAAAGTGGTTCGGCGGAGGAAGCGACGTTATCCCCGGAACTTCACGGTTCTTCTGCACGGAAGGCGGTGCTGGGAGGGGGGGGGGGGGAGACAGTTTGTTGAAACAGGGCTCGATCTTGTGAGACGTGCTCCCGAACGAGGAACATGTCTGTGGCACAACATTGGGTAGTTGACTAAACGAGCCCATTTTTATCAAGTTTGTCGAGAGTAACGTGACAATATGTATACATACCTATGTATATGAAAACGCAAGAAGAAAAATCCAGAAAAAAAGACTCCGGTGCATGGAATCGAACGTGAGACGACCGCGTCGTGAATGCGAGGCGTTAACCACTGAGCCGTCTAGAGGTTTTTTTTCTTTATCTTTATCTGAACCATCGAGAGGTACCTCCGTAGACGTTCAAATGGCAAGCTATTTATATCTACCACTTACCGCTGTTGGCGGGCATCTTGAGGGGAGGGGGAGGCTATTGTGTTTTCAGCATTATCAACGAGCTGGCGCAATGAGCGCGCGACGGCTCTCATCTCTAACGCGTACTTTGTCCCGCGTAGAGAATAACGGGCTGTACGCTCGATCGCGCAGCCTTATCTTGCAGTAGGGAGGATTGTACGTCTTGTACGTATTCTGTTGTAGTTACCGGGCGCACAAAAGTACTGCAATCGTTGCACATCCTCTGTTTACGAAAAGGGGGCGCTTTTCAGACAGGGCAAAGTAACTGAAACGCTTATTCGCATTCATCTGTACCTGTGAGTACGTTTCGTGCGTCATTTGTGCGTGAGAAACGTGGGGCTCATTTCGATCTGCTTACGATTCTGCGCGTGACCTGCCATTTTGTTGCTATCGCTTTCATTTCTTCGCCTTTGCCGCAACGCTGTGACTTTTTAGACAGCAGAGAAAACGCAAAGTTCATGTGCTATGGGACAATGCTTTTTTGTGTGAAGTGAATGTTACGTATTACGTAACACCCTCTGTGTAATGGCACCAATCACTTGGCTCACAGTATAAATAATCAATATTAATTATTAGTATTTGTAAGTACTTGTTCCGAATACTTTTTTTTCTTTCCCGTGACTTCCATAGCGCCCGGAGGGCCACCAACGAAAGTCAGGGCACAACCACTAAGCTCGCAAGCCCTGAAGATTACTTGGAAGGTAAGATATATATCAGACGTGCACACGTTTTTCGAAACGATGGCTTAGCTACATCTGTTTATGAAGGTGCGCTGTTCGAGAATTTGAAAAACCCTCACCAGATGAAGTAGATGACTCTAACCTGCAGATTGACTTATAACTAACGCTGAATAGATGTAGAAGTGACAAGATAGTCAGTGCTGGAATCGAAAATATTTCAAATGAACTTTGTGATTTGTGCTTCGATTGATAACTAGCTGTGACTGAATGTAGAATTTACAAGATAGTGCTGCGATTGAAAATAATCCTAATGATTGTTGAAATTTTCGCTTCCCGAAACAATGCTGGGAATATGAGAGACACCATAGAGGAAGGCTCCGGAAATGAATATTGCACTAAATACGTACACGACAATCTAGCTGCTCGCCTATACAGCGACATTTAGCCGGCGCGACCGGGATTAGGTTCTACGAGCAGCAGTCGAGCATGGACCTTACCTACTAGATCACCAAGTTGGGTAATGCTGGAAATAATTCACTTCAAATTCAGTCTTAACGCACGTCGTGCATATATCTAGAAAAAATGAAGGGTGTGCATTGAGATTTAGGAGCGCATCTTTCTTTGGCACCCCCATGACGCAGCCGCCGAGCAAGGAGTTTCACTTCGGTGCCATCAAGGGCTACTACGTGGGCTACCGTGTGGCGGCCTCGTCGGACCCGTACATCTACAAGACGCTCGACTTGGGCGCAGAGGGCCGCGAGGAGTGCGTGCTCTCTTCGTTGTCACGATTCACGCAGTACAGCGTCATCGTGCAGGCCTACAACAACAAGGGCGCCGGACCACCGTCCGATGAGGTGGTCGTGCAGACGCTCGATAGCGGTGAGTGTTGTGAAGTGGCCTCGCGGTACGCCACTCGGATTCGTCATTGATTCATGTCCGTACGTGTTAATTTTAATGTCTCAAGAATCACGAGTACACTGATGAGACAGAGACGTCTATCATCATCATCATCATTATCATCATCATCATCATCATCATCATCATCACCAGCCTGACGACGTCCACTGCAGGACAAAGGCCTCTCCCATGTTCCGCCAGTTAACCCGGTCCTGTGCTTGCTGCAGCCAATTTATACCCGCAAACTTCTTAATCTATACTGCCCAACTAACCTTCTATCTCCCCCGAACCCGCTTCCCTTCTCTGGGAATACAGTTATTTACCCTTAATGACCAGCGGTTATCCTGTCTACGCGCTACATGCCCCGCCCATGTCTATTTCCTCTTCTTTATTTCAACTATGATATCCTTAACCCCCGTTTGTCCCCTATTGCACTCTGCTCTCTTCTTGTCTCTTAAGGTTACACCTACCATTTTTTTTCCATTGCTCGCTGCGTCGTCCTCAATTTAAGCTGAACCCTCTTTGTAAGTCTCCAGGTTTGTGCTCCGTAACAGCTGTACCGGCAAGGTACAGCTGTTATATATCTTCCTCTTGAGGGATAGTGGCAATCTACCTGTCATAATTTGAAAGTGCTTTGCGAATGTGCTTCACCCCATTCATATTCTTCTAGTTACTTCAATCTCGTGGTTAGGCTCTGTGGTTATTACCTGCCCTAAGTAGACATAGTCTCTCACAACTTGAAGTGCACTATTACCTATCTCGAAGCGCTGCTCTTTTCAGAGGTTGTTGTACATTACTTTCGTTTTCTGCAGATTAATTTTAAGACCCACCTTTCTGCTCTCCTTGTCTAACTCCGTAATCATGAGTTGCGATTCGTCCCCTGAGTCACTCAGCAATGCAATGTCATCGGCGAAGCGCAAGTTACTAAGATACTCTCCATTAACTCTTATCCCTAACTGTTCCCATTCTAGGCTTCTGAAAACCTCTCGTAAGCATGCGGTAAATAGCATTGGGGAGATTGTGTCCCTCTGTCTTACACCCTTCTTGATTGGTATTCTATTGCTTTCTTTATGAAGTACTATGGTAGCAGTTGATCCCCTGTAGATTTCTTCCAGAATGTTTATATATACTTCATCTACGCCCCGATTCCGCAGTGTCTGCATGACGGCTGATATTTCTACTGAATCAAACGCCTTCTCGTAATCTATGAAGGCTATGTATAGTGGTTGGTTATATTCTGAGCATTTCTCCATTACCTGATTGATAGTATGAATGTGGTCAATTGTTGAGTAGCCTGTTCAAAATCCTGCTTGTTCCTTTGGTTTATTGAATTCAAATGTTTTCTTTACTCTGTTAGCAATTACCTTTGTAAATAGCTTGTATACTACATAGAGCAAGCTGAGGCATGTATATCACAAGTTAAAAGACTAATCGTGCAAACACGGAAACAATGGAGAAGTAAAGGCACCACAAACGCGCACCAGAAGGTCGCGGTATCGAACGATACCATCAAATGATTATAGAAAATTGGGACACCCTTAAGCTTCACTCTTACGACTTTAATACGACAATGACATCCTGTTTCTACTGCGTGATGAGTTCAAAAAGGCTTGTGTACGGAAAAATTTCGCATACGTCTGCTTTCTGTGCATTGGGTAGCGTGCTTTAAGCCATGAAAAATTGTGCGCGTGAAATCTTTTCTAACTTGCCGTGCACCCACTACGTGGCCTTAAGGAAAAAGGTGCAGTAACATGTGTGCCTTCTGTAGTGGGTAGCCCGCTTTAAACCATAAATTCGTAATAGTTACATGTTTCTACACCCTATCGCAATGTACTCTTGTACCAGTCATTATCACTGCCCTAATACATGTTGTATTACGAAGCATATATAGATCACACGTGTTTTTGCATGACATGTTACGTTGGCTGCAAGTCCATGCAGAGGAAGTTATTTTCACTGTATTTTTTTATTTCTTTGATTTGCATGTTTATTGAATTTTCTTTCACGTGCAAGATGATTTTTTGCTCACACCAAATGTCATCGAGGCCGACAACAACGCCGACACCAAAATTTCTGAGAAACGAGCTCAATAACGCTATCGCATTAAAACCTCAGAATTATGACCGTGCTTGCAGGCCCAGTTTTTAGCCATAATAGCGCTCTGATTTTCCGATTATATTACTATACTTACTAGGTTCTGTATTGTGTAATGGTTGACAGCCCATTGCGTGGCGGCCACTTTTTTTTTCCTTTCAAACAAAGGTTGCTCACGCACAAGGTCTCGTAACAATGAGATAAGGAGCCTTTCCTGTGCTCAAGTTGTACACCGATATGTTTCTATGGATTTCCCTGAATTACTATTCATGCCCTATGCTCTTATCTTTTTTTAAGTCAATCCGAGATATAATTTCAAACAGACTTCCCTCATTCTGTCAACAGATCCTCCGTCTCCACCTGATCTCCAAGTAGAAGGTACATCTTTCACCTCCGTTTCTCTCAAGTGGGACCGCGCTCCGGGTGACCCAAACCCCGTCACAGGTGTGTACACTTCTCTGACAAGAGTGCGCCTACAGTAATACCAATGTGATGTCAAGGGTTGCGTAACCCTAGCAATCACGTTGTTGCTGGGAGAGTGTAGAATGGATAGCCCACACCTTACGCTGTTACAGGGTACGGATAGATGGACGGACACGAGTGTAAGCCCTTGATGGCTTTCGCATTAAAAAGGCACCAGCCAGGGTTTGTTGGTGCACATGCCACAGGGTAAACACGCCGAAGACAAGGACAGAGATGTGGCTAGCGTGCAGAGATTGCAGCTTACAGAGCTCGTGTGTGTCAAGTCTCCTCTGCGTCCTTGTCTTCGGCGCATTTACCTTGCTCCACCTTCGAGCTCTTGAGATGGCCACCGAGATCGACCTACTTACGCAGTGCCCGATTTCCGAAAGCGCAATATGTATTTACGATGTGCTTTTGGGCTGCAGGTTACTATGTGCGGCAGAAAGAAGCCGTCACCGGCAGCGAGTGGCACGAGACTCACGTGCCGGGGGACCAGAACTCGCTGACGGTTGACAAGCTCAAGTGCGGCACCAACTACCAGTTCGCCGTGCGAGGATACAATGCGGCCGGCACTGGCGAGAACAGCGACATTGTTACCGTCAAGACAAGCGGGGCCGGTAAGCAGGTCATCTCGTTGTATATTGACTATCTGAAAACATGTATTCCTCTTTTTCGTTTGAACTAATGACAAACTCCGAGATTTCTGTTGGCGAGAAATACGACTTCACGGAGACACTCGAGAATCGAATTACAGTCGCATTATTTCACCATGCAGATAGCCGCAGACTGGTGGAAGTTGGTGTGCACCAGTCCTCTCTCACCGGGCAACAATGCAAATTTTGTCAAAGGATTCTTCGTAAATACTTTTCCGCAACTAAAGCTTCTGTCTCAGAAATCCGCATAATTCTCTTTCCGGCTTTGTGCTACAAGTGATTCACTGTCAATTTCCTTTCTTAAGTGTAAGGCATTTGCATACTTACTCTGCGGTATTAACATCATGGCTAAAACTCCCAATTGTTACCGGACATCTCCTCTACGCGCGCAGCGCCGGTGGCTCCGGATCGCCAGTCGCTGGTGCAGACCAACGTGAGCTCGGCAGTGGTTCTGCTAGGAGCGTGGCACAGCGGCGGCTGCCCTATTCACCAGTTCACGGTCAAGTACCGGCGTCGACAGGACGCTGACTGGACCACGTTGCAGGCAACCAGGCCTCGTGACGCGCGCCTCGAGATCCCTGGTCTCACGCCTGCCACCTGGTACACGCTCCAGATGACGGCGCACAACAGCGCCGGTGTCACCGAAGCCGAGTACGCGTTCGCCACACTGTCCAAGTACGGAGGTACGCTGACAAATTTAATACGCCCAACGATCATTCGAATTAAAACGACAAGTTGGGTCAATTGGCAATTTAACATAATTTGCTCTTTTGCGAAGTGAGCGACGCGACCAGGACTGGGGACTTGTGTCAGAATCTTTCTTAGTTCTCCTCAGCCCGGTTCATTAATCGGATTTCTCTAATCCCCGCCATAAAATATGTCTTCACTAAGGTAATAAAGATAGGGTTATGGATACTTGGATTTTTATAAAAGGCATAATGCTGAAAAAAAAAGTCGCAGTTTTGCTTGAATGTGGCCGAGTAGTGATAAAGAAGTGTTAAACAGTTACACGAAGTGAGGTTAACAGTTTTAAAGCCGTCACCTCACCTCCATGAAAGCTGTGCCAAAACATTTACACGCATTGCGACCTTTCATGGTTACAACGTAGGAGTAATGGGTATACTACATTAGGCTATATGCGTGCTTTATTCATAGGCAAAATGGCTAGATATAGCCATTGCCGCTCGCTTCATTTAAAAGCGGTTTTCTCTTCCTTTTCTTTTTTATGCGCTAAAAGTTACACCATCCAACGACACCAACAAACCCATTCGTACGTCCTTTTCAAGTAGCTATATTCTTGCCGGTATATGTCGTGGGGTCAGCTACCCTACTCTAGTAAAACGCCAGTGCCTTCCCTAGTGAGCAATATGTACGCACACTAGCGACGCGAATGCTTAAGGCATTGAACAATACACGATGACTTACTTGGTTCCCTGTGCGTGCAGCGGCAGACCAGGTGACGCCCCGGACGGAAGTGCATCGCGAAACGTCGTCTGTTGTGTCCGATGCGACCGTGGTGGTTCCGGTGGTGGTTTCGCTAGTCATTGTGGTGGTCCTCCTGGTCATCGTGTGCATGGTCATCCGCAGGAAGCATTCCTCCGGCAGTTCCCAGAGTGGTACGTACGCCAACGGTAAGCGTCACAAACGCAGCATGCGCGCGAAGATGCACAGTTCTGGCAGATCCACAACGGTTCCCACATTCATTTAGGAATAAACTTTTATAGATCTGTCGGCGATATATCGCATAAATTCCTACAAGTATTGCCACAATATTTTCTAACGTTTCGGGTTACCTGCCCATTGCACGTGTCGATACTGCCTTGCACCACGCTATAGAATGCCTGACGCCCGTTTTCTAAAACGTCCCTTCACTCAACGCTTCACCTTCACTTGAGAAAGCCTATGGGAGCGCCGTTTCTAGGCATGGCAAGTCACTGCATATCAGCGATAGTCTGCTGCGATTCTTGAGTAGCGCAGCGTCATATTTAAACGAGTGGTGGCGCAGTGCTCAACTCTGCCAAGTGAAGCGTGGAATTCGTGTCGAGGAGCGTTTGTGAAAACGGGGGTGAGAGCATTCCAGATTATTTTAGGATCACCGGATGGGCTTGAGCGCGCAAACGCGAACAGATGCGTTTATTCTCGAAGAAATTCAGTCACCCGCGATAACGCTGGAATCGCCGATGCCGCATGTATATATAAACGCCGACGCACCTTGTTGCGAATCAGATTATTGGTGGTCGACGCTACGTTCACCGTTATCAGTGTACAGCGTGCATTGCTTGCTGTTCGGTTTGCCGACCACAAGTTCGTCCAAATAAATTTATCTTGGATGCGAAAACTGCTGACTTCGCTACGTCACGACCCCGTAGAAATAATTACCCAGAGCTTTGGAAAACATTTCTGGCAATGTGGTCATTCCAAATATGGTCAAGAGTTTGCTGTAACGTAGAGGTGCTCACAGAATCGTTAGAAGCGCCGAACAGGCCAGCGCTGCCCGGTGGTGCACTCTGATGAAATAAAAGATAAAGTAGTCGTATGGTCGGTGCGTGTGTGGCATGCTTAGCGGGCAAGCCTCGTTTCATAGTGCATCTCGAATAGTGTTACCTTGAGCGAAAAAGGTAGGTGCTTTGCCAGCGCTATTTGAAGTCATGCACTGTAGGTGTACTCCGCAGCCAGAACAGGAATATCGAGAACATATGTGACAGTGCACATATAATCGCTATCGCTCGAAATAAAACTTAATCGATGACTAGGTATTGTCAGTAAATTACCAAGGTGTTTGAGGAGGAGTGATAGGCTTTTCTATTAGTGAAATACGATTTTGAAACCACAAACGATTTTGTATTACCTTTTGCACAAAGGCCTTGTTTTTTTTTTTGGACGAGTTGGTGTTTGCCTAACGACGTCATTTGAAGGGCAAGTTATGCCTTAGGCAATTATCCTCACAGCGTCTGCGCAAGCTTTGTTACTATTTCTTTATAAGCAATAGAGTTTCTACATTTCATTCTATTCTACATTCTAAACATTGTTCCGCCAAACTGCCCAGAACGCTTTCTGTGCCAGAAAAAAAATGCCTAAATTGGGCGCATAAATTTTACAATAACTACATAAAATGTTGCAGGGGTGGCTGAGGTTCTGGTACAAAATGAAATAAAACGAACTATTTTATTTTTTACGTCTACTGATGAGCTAAAGAAAATTCGAGTTTAAAAAACTGCCTTGCCTGATTCAAGGGAATCTATGCGGCCCTTTACTGTTCTTATGCGTTAAATGCCCCTATTAAGTGTAACGAGCTAATATGAACATCGAAGTGGGCAGTCTTTATACTTCGCTCTGTTGTGCGCGTATTTACAGGCAGCTCGCTTTATGGCACCCGAAAGAATGGCATGCAAGATGCCATGCAGATGAGCGACCTGGAAGGCAAAGTGGGCAAGGAATGCTCCAGCAGTGCCTTCTTCCCGGCGCCTTACGCAACCACGCAACTAGGCACCAGGGGTCCAGAAAAAAGGACGGACCACGTGGTGAGTGGCGTTTCTCTTTTCTACATGACAGACGCACAGACTAGTCCACAGTCAAATCGAATGGTTTTCTTGCAAAAGCGTGGTGGCTCATATTTGCATGCTACTAATGGTGGCAGGTTAATTCTGACTCCACTTTTTTTCACAGAACAGTGCCAGGTGCGAAGTGTTTTTTTTTCACATGCACTAGCAGTCAAGGCACCAGCAATCAGAAGGTGCTTATTCGAGTATCCCTTTTCATGGTGAACTACACCATAGATACGTGCCGAAGTTTCGAAGTCCGACAAAGAAATCACAGTATATCACGGAGTGAATGATGATAGGGGGGGGGGGGCGAATCGTCAGTCCATCCGTCCGTCCATGTGTCCGTCCGTCCGTGCATGCGTTCATGCATCCGATCGCGTTCGAAAATGCAGGCGGCGCGTGGGTAAAACCAACGAGACCCCAGCCAAAGAAGCCGAGCGCACAGCGTCTCCAACGCGCCCGCCGCTCTGCTTCGTTCATGCCCCACCAATGATCCGCCTCGTACAGCGACTGTTCGGGGGACTGAGAGAGGCACTCGTTCGCGCACTCAGGCAAAGCGTGCGCAGCAGCCAATCTGAGAATAGCGGCACTTCGGAGAGTAGCGGCAGGGTAACGCCATCTATGAAATGAGACGAGAAATGGTCATTCGTTTCTCGTCTCTTCTTCTCTTGGTTACGCGTGACTAGTGACACGGTTAGACTATAAGGAGCTTCGTCCCTATAAGTACGCGCCTGTTAAGCATTACCGTAAAGCAGCCTCTTCCGCAATAAGGACCTTTGTGGGGGAAAGCCTCCTTCTGTGATTGTGTTCTAGCGAGTTAGCACGGATGGTATACCATGAAAACTGCAACCGCAGTTACGAATAAATACTCGGCAGCTGGAGCTGAACTTTTGTCTCTTGGCTAATCCTAGTGTGAAGTTGATTACAACACATAAAGTATTATACGCTGCATAGGTTGAAACTGTTAAAGCCACTCTAGGTCCACCTACAACGGCTGCGTTTAATGCGACAAACATTTGCTTTTTACATTTTGTCAAGCCCGTTGAATATATACTTCACGTTGCAGCATGACCTGCACACAACGCAATTTCAAGTAATTATTATCGACTAAAGATATGGTGCAATACATTGACAGAATACTTCAACTGGTTCCACGCTTAACGCAGCACGATGCTTTACATAGGCAAAATGTCTGGTTAGATACATTATTTGCTGAAGCATCTATCACGTGGCCTTTACATAAACTTCGTAGGCAACTAGTCATAAAACAGGCGTGTGTAGTCATAAAACAGGCAGGATATGTAGTATAGCACCTTCCAATTTCTTCTATTTATTTGTTGTTGTTTTTATCATAGGATGAGCCCCTTTACGCCACTGTGAAACGAACGCCACGGCCGCCACGGTCTGACGGCCACATATACCAGTGTCCAGGTGAGGCGTTCGCATGCCCGTCTGTGCCAATTTTGAAATCACTTACTTATTCTGAAGAGGAAAAAAAAGTGACACAGAACCTCATTACAAAGTTTCACATGATGCATGACTCTGGTAAGCCAAATAAGGCCAAAGCTCAGGGGAGGGTAGAAGCCTGAAGGGATGAAAAAGTTTTGAACACGGGTGTCTCTGAACCCAAAGTCTCAACTAGTAGTCTGGTCGTCTTCAAGCGACAGCAATAAAGAAAAAAGGCCGCTTCTTAAAGAACGACTCCAACAATGTCCAGTGCTAAGAATACGCATGATTTTTTTTCGTTACTGATCAATTTGATTATTGACGACAGTTAACCACCTCTCGTTGTTGGTCATGTTAACAACTGTGCTAAACAAATTCAGCTGCCATATACATCCATGCCCAATAATTTTCTAGGTACGTCGTCTGGCAACATATCTTGATTTCTCGGCAAGATCAGATTGCGTTTATTTTGTTTATTACTCTGTTTTACGTTCACTAGTCCTAATGCTCTATCCTTCTTTTTCTCATTCTTGCAGCACTAGCAAGAAATGGAAGGCCAGCAGCCAGGGTCACCTGAAACAGGTCTAGTCTTTCATAAGGTGCGGGAAACAAATTCTAAGGTGCAGCCTGGACATTCTGCCGTTATTTCGCAAAAAACTGAAACGCTGGACGTGATTACTTCGTGTCAGTGTGCGCGTCTATGGTGGCAACACGAGAAGTACCAGAGGACTGCGAAGCAACTGTCGATGCAACGAACAAACCTTTACAGAGTGGCCACTGGCATACTGGAGACCCACGCTTCAATCATCTACAAGTGGCAGGCTGGATACAGCCCTTTCAAAGTATGCTGGTGCGGTTTGTACATACAAACAAGACAGACAGTGTGCGTGCGGCCTTGTTGGAGACGTGCTGTGAACTACCGAGAACCACAAAAGCGCCTTTGTTAGCGTCGCCTTGTACAAAAAATATGGACCGAAGTAAACGTGTGTGTGTATGTGTGCGCGTGGTTGGGACAATGCACCAAAGGAGGAAAGCGCGTGAGGGATATGGGGTGACGGCATGTCAAGTAACTCCATTTTCTTTTTTTTCTTTTTTTAACACAGTTGATCAGCTTGGCGCATTTTACCTCTAAGCACATACAACTGCGACCACTTTCCTAAACTGAACCTTGTAGCTCGAGCGACGTTGTATGTCGGACGCGGACAGATGTGGGTGCCAACGTACACCCTCTGGGTGAGATGGCTATACAGACAGCAATGGTGGAATTAAGAACGATCCACAATAACTCCATGTTTGAGCAACTGCCTCATAACAGCCAAGTCGATCCAGAACTGAAACCTGTGATCTAACGACCTGCACGAATGTCAGACGTTTAAGCTTGGTATTACGTTCTAACACAACGATGAGAATCGAAGTAGTGGGCATGTTTTGTTTTTCCGTGCACAACAGCTGTTTTTCTGCAAGAAAGGTGGCGTACAACAATTCCTGATAAGAATTTACCAAACATACACGATGTTAAGAAAGAAGTAGGTCATGAGAAAACTGTCATAGAGCAAAATTGCTGCAGAAAGTGAAAAAAAATTAGACATTAACACTGCAGTGACTTCATCAGAAACCAAGTGTCTTAGGTCTTTAAATCGGTGTGGAAGGGTGTGTGTGCCATGCATTACAATGAAGTGTCTGTAGAGTTATTCTATCCAACATATGCTTACGACAATTGATCGTATATTCAAATTTGAGTAAATAAATCAAACTTATGTGCATTAGAATCACTTGCGTGACAGAAAACAACGGGACAGGCATAGCACAACATTGCTGAGTACTTTCACTGGTGAACCTAATGTTGCTGAAATATCTTGTTGAGTAAGCAGAGTGCAACTGTACCTGACCTCCCGAAAATGTGCAGGAAGCCACTCTGGGACCACTGTTGGTTTAGTTTCTTTATTGTTCAAGTACAGAACTAATTTGGCGAGGCTCAAATGAGCCACAGAATAAGCACCAACGGCGTCTTGAACTGACTCGAAATTTAGAGTGAAACCTCAGAAATGGAAAAAAATGATATCTTAATTTTATACACATGTTACGCTAACGCATTCATTACATCGCATGTACTAGAGCTTTGATAAGTATATACAAGAAGATAATAACATTTCAGCGGGAATATGTAGAGGCATACCTATTGTATACACACATTCCACTTGCAGTTGCCAATTTTCTTCACAACTAAAACAAACTTTACATTAAAAAACAAGAGTTCAAGTTCACTGAACTAAATTTTATTCAATTATGCACTTACTAAGACAACTATGAGAGTACGTGACTCGCGTCAACAATTGTGCAGGGTATACATTGTGCTAATGTCTCTACACAGCCTTAGGTTCCAGGCTGTTATTGTAGCATTGAGGTACTCCTCAATTGCCAGGTGCAAGCAACACGGTGCCAGTTGTGTTCAACATTATGTGACTGTTGTGGATGAATAAAAGAAGTCGATTATCTTGCACCATTGACCATGTCACTTCATCAGTTTCGTGCTAGCCACGAGACAAATATACTGAACTTGCCATATTACATGCCATGAACGTGCGCCGATCATAAGGCATGTGGGGACCCGAGATTAACATTGTGAGTCTGGGGCACACCTTTACTCACATGCCATAAATCATCACTCTGTACGAAACTTTCTTCAATGATGTAATTGAATACTATAAAAGGTGAGGGATTATGAAAAGAAGCAACAGCATCAGTGCAACTAGTGAATGACTTTTTTTATTACAACTCCTCGTATTATAGCGGTAAACTTTCTTAATTAAAGAAAACAGATTTTAAAATAATTTTGCACACTTCATCTCGCTTTTGTACCTTTATAATTGCGAACACCCATGTATTCAGGTAATGGTAGGCGTGACAAGTTTATTTCGTAGTATTTTCTTCTCTGACTTGTTCCTTGTCATTGAGGGATGGGAAGAAATTTTCACAAGTATTCGTGCAAGACTGCAATACATGCTTTAGCACTAGTTCACTATCACGTCCATTTTTAAAATAATCAAAATATCTGAACTCTTGAATTACCAGTAAGGGTGGTGTATATTTCACGGCTATCTGGTGGTGCCTGTGGGACTTTAATATATCAGGCTTTGATTCAAGAAGTTGTATAAGGGATAGCTTTGTGTAATTGCGTTCATAGCTTACCTTACGAGGCAAACAAGGTCATATATTTCTAATTCTTTGGCAAGGCTTTACAGCGGAAATGAAAGTGATGCATTTTTGTTCCCATTTCGCTTAGTGGTTATTTGCAGTTGTCACAATGTAGCAAGTTCAAGGTCACAGGAACAGCGTACCCTGTGATATATGCTACCATCATTAAAATGACCTTTAAGTTTGATAATGCTCGGGAAGCCAAGATGGCGTGCCAGAATGCTTGCTCTAAAGTTGTCTTTCTTGTAATTCCAGTGTTTGTCGTCGTTAGTGGAGGTTTGCAGCGGACGTACCAACTTGTGTTAGTGTGCCTTGCAGATCAAGCTTTTTAGCGTTTTCGTTCAGCTGCCTGGTAGATACTTCTTTATGGAACCTTGCCAGGCGCCTATTGCTCTTAAAGCAATCTTCAAGAAGGTCTTCAGATTAACCAAGGAGAGCAAAATGTATGTGAAGCTCATAAACCCGGTACTTGACAATCTCCAGGAGTGGTGGGTGTGTTTGATGGCATCAAGGGTCTTCACCGAGTCTGCAAGCGCTATGATTTTCTTCTTACCGTGCCTACAATCAGTCCAGAAAGGCGTGGAGGAAAGCAACACACACAGTGGCAGTCATATTTTCCACACCATAGTTGTCGTATCCATAGCAAGGGTGCACACAACAACTCTCTGGCCACACCTGACCGTCTGGTTACTCGGGGTCTAACCCGTCGACAAATAAAAGCAGCACACATAACAAGTTTGAAGCTACCGACGCTATTCAGGCAGCAGTGCCTCATTGCCTTTTCTTTGGTATCTTGCAGGCTCAATAGAAATTCCATATACACCCGCATCGAAGTCCAGTGACGCTCAAGTGAGCAAAGTGCCGATTCGAACATGCTGCCGAACGCTGGAATCTGTAAGGAGCCTCCACCAAGAAAGCGTGCAACCTACAGCGTCGAAGCGCAGTAGTCATAGCGCGGGTGCTAGCGTTTACAGAGCAAGAGCAGCCGACTGAAAAAAAAAAATCTAGCCCACTTCCACTGATGACGTGTGCCATATGAGGCACAGTTTTGGGCCTTCACGAGGTTTCATTAGGTGGCACTGTGTCACCGCCACTACTACTTCCATCTCTTCGACGATGATGGCGCTACCCCCACAAAGACAATGCGATTAGCACCAGTGCGGCCGCGTCACCGTAACCGGGTGGTGGGCAACTCCGTGTTGGAAAGTTGACGCGAGCGGTGGCACGCACGCTATGGTTGCATCGAGAAGTGGTCGGGTCGCTCGACGACACCGTGCTGGTTCTTCGCTTCGGACCGCCGCTCTGGCAGCGATATCCAGCATGCGTCTCCATCGACTCACGTGACCACCGGAGAAGGAAAGGTGCTCGAGAGTGAGAGCTGAATCGTGAGTTTGTGCCAAGAGAGGGATGGGGTAAACCCTCTCTCTTGAAGCTTTACTAGGGAACGCACCCAGGGATCTACGCGCAGTGCTAGGGAATGATCGCGAGAGGAAGTGAACCTCCCCTTTCCCTACGTAGCTCCGCCTTTCGCTCAGACATCGATGATTTTCTCCTTAACTTGTGAGAGCACCCTTGCTCCTTTCCATCTTTCGAAGCTGTTGGGGTTACAGGCTGCGTCCCGTTCCGCAGTTTGAAGGTATAAGGCTCGTTCTGCAGTGATCTTCTTCAGACCTCCTAATGGAAATTTCTGGAGTAGGTAAATAAGAGGTGTTCAAAGTCGCAAACGAAATTGCTTTGCATTCATGTCCTTCGAAGCAAATTTTAATAACATGGAGGTAACCAGTAAGGGGGTGCGACAATTTAAATGCATAATGCGATGATCTGCTGTCGATTTATATCGCCTAACAGGTGTTTCTAGTGTGTGCAATTTTACGACAAGGACGAAGCTTTTGTCAATAGCCAGCCCAATCCCATAGAGAACGTGGGCCGGCTCTCCATTCTATAGTACGCCACGTCTCCTATGTGAGCACGTAAGGGAAAGAGAGAAAAAGTGAAGGAGAGCAAGCACTTGGAAGTTTGAAATGCTACAGGCACTTCGAGGTATAATGGTTTAGAAAAGCAAAAAAGAACGAGTCGTGGGCATCCGTCCGCAGTGGAAGTGCCAGGAGAGTATCGGGAACCGAGGTCTTTGACAAGGGAGGGCACATTAAGGAAAAAGCTGCAATGAAGGAGAAAAAAAGAAAGAAAAAAAGAAAGAAAGAGGAGGTTCACCTTGTGTAAATTGTGGAAATAATATTTTTTTTCTCCTGCCCTAGATTCGTCCTTTTTGCTTCGCTTTCAGATTTGAGCCCATATTTGAACCACAATTTTTTGCAATAATTTTAGCTCTCAGTAAAATAACTGCTTCAGTAAGTTCCGCAGTAATTTCAACGGATTCACTATCAGTATGTGCCTCCCTTACTGCAGATGAGAACTCGCATGCTCAGAGTGCTTTCAATAGCATTAGTTTCCTCGCATCTCAATCTGATCCAATTGGTCTTGGTTCCAGGACATAAGGGCATTTATATAAATCAAATGGCGATGCGCTGGCAAGTTCATCTTTAAATGGGCCTGTTATTGAGATATTACCGGCATCAAAATTCTTAAAGGGCACTAGATTAAAAAGGAAACTGCTATTAGAGAAATTTTCTACACCTTCACTAACAGCCACACCAGAATTCAAGCGCTTGTTGTACTATTGGTATAGTAAAATATGTCAAACGCGAGGAACGGAAGTCGCAATCACTGGACTGTGCTGTCTAATTCCACAGCTAAATTTATATTTACTCAGAGCTGGTCTGGCAGCCTCCCCTTATTG